TGGATGGATGGATGGATGGATGGATGGATGGATGGATGGATGGATGGACGGACGGACGGATGGATAGATAGGTGGATTATAAGATGGATGGATGCTTGGGCAAATACATATATGAATAGATTTCTAGACAGGGGCTTGAAACGCATGGCCCACAGACGCTCTCGCTCACGAAGCGACGGCCGCGTCTATCCCTGGGGAAGCATCCACAGATCAGCACACACCGGTCCCCGAGTTTTTACCCCCCGTTGAACCCCCCAGGCGGTTACTCACTCACCAGTGTCTGTGTCCATCCCTGGGCAAGTATCCAGAGATGGTTACTAATACACCGGTTCCCGAGTTTTTTCCTTGTGGAAGAGTTCGTAGACGTTTACACACGCACCGGTGTCCGTGTCTATTCCTAAGGAAGCATCCACAGACTGTTACTCACGCACCAGTGTCTGTGTCCATCCCTGGGGAAGCATCCAGAGATAATTACTCACACACCGGTCCCCGAGTTTTTCCCTGTGGAAGAGTCCGTAGACGTTTACTCACGCACCGGTGCCCGTGTCTATCCCTAAGGAAGCATCCACAGACTGTTACTCACGCACCAGTGCCTATCCATCCCTGGGGAAGCATCCAGAGACGGTTACTAATACACCGATCCCTACATCTATCCCTGTGGAATGAGATGCCCTAGATTCACTCCACTGGCCATTGCCAAGCCTCTAGGTTTAATCCGAAGTACTAATAGCAAGCGGACTGGAGTTCGCACGTTTATGTGCGTATTCATACGTGGTATACAGCTAACATGGTTTTCATCCAGGGATTTTACAGGGGGTATATATATATATATATATATGTGTGTGTGTATATATATATGTGTGTGTGTATATATATATATGTGTGTGTATATATATATATGGGTGTATATAGGTAGTAGTATGTATGTATATAGGCAGGCGTAAATAATCACAATTTGTAATTATTTACTCCGGACATTGGGAGTACACACACGAACTATATAGATATAGTATGCGGGTGTAATTGCTACGCGATAAATTCGACCGGACGTCCTTCGTACTAAGCTTGCCTTGCCGCATGTAATCGCGCTGTTGTCAGTAATCTAACCCTGATGAGTAAGGAAGGAGAGGGTCGCACTAGTTTACTTCCTGCGCGGGGGGATTTCTCCAACGATAGATATCGCTGTAGCTTAGTCGATGTGCCTAGAGCTTGTACACGCTCCGAGGACTGTAAGCACTGCCGGTAGAGGTGTGACGTCACGGAAACTTTCCCGGTGTTCTCCCAGGTATTTTTTTAACAGAATGTAGCATCAGCAGCTTCAGTGAGTGCCAAAATAAGTTCTGGCATACATTTCTACTGGCTGGACCAGCACGAGTGGACCCACGCGGGTGACTCGCGTGCCTGTTGCAATGACTTGGCACCGCGTAGACTGGCTTCACTCTCGCCTCTTCCTCCTCCGCAGGTCCGTCATCATGAGCGATCGCCTGAGCTTCACGAGCAGTCTAGATCTCGACTCACCGATCCGGGAGACGGATATCCTCGACGCCTTCGACGAGTTTCTCAACAACAACTCCAAACTGATGCCGACGAGCAACCGGCAGCAGCCGCGGCACCACTCCTCCTCCGCCCAGAGTCCCGTCAACAACAACCTATCTGTGAGTGTAGTCACGCAGGTGAGGGGGGACGCGTGTGTGTGGGTGCGGGGGGGGGGCGTGTGTGTGTGTGTGTGTGTGTGTGTGTGTGTGTGTGTGTGTATGGTGGTTGTGTGTGTGTTGTGTGTGTGTTGTGTGTGCGTGTTGTGTGTATGTGTGTGTGTGTGTTTGTTGTGGGCGTGCGTGCGTGCTGTGCGTGCGTCGTGGCGTGCGTGCGTGCGTGCGTGAGGCGTGCCGTGCGTGCGCTCGGCTGTGTGTGTGCGGGTCCATAGTAGTGCCCCAGATGAAAAATATACGAGTTTCCAAATAATTTAAAATCGCAATTTAGGCTTTACCGCGTCCCGGTTGACTGTCTATATTTCCGAATCAGGAAGCTTAAATTTTTGCAGTATTTCCCGCGGTTCCCAGATAATGTATGTACATGGATGATGAGTTACACAGGTCGTTAATTAAGCTCTCTATAAAACACACCAATGTTTAGCCCTATTTTTTTCTAAATAATTTTTATCGCTGGTTCGTTCAGTAGCCGTCAAATAGTTTTCATTAACCGTTATCCAACGTTTATGGGGAGTGACAAAGATGAATATTTCGTTGCGTGACGATGTCGTCGTATGTGATAAAGATATTTGTGCGTATCGCCTGTATCACACTCTCCAGTATTACGATGGTCTGTCCTAGGTCACAGATGAATGGGTAAAAATGCGTCATGCTGGAATGCGCAGGAAAAGCAATCTTTAAGGGGAAAGGTCGTGTATTAAGCCTCTTAGGCGGATTCGAACCGAACAAAATTCACAACGCTTTGTAACAAACTAAATATACCTAACCAGTCGTGAATCGCTTTTGCCGTATTAATCCTGTGTACATCATTTTCTGGCGAGCTATGTTCATACAGGTTTCGTAGTTCCATCCCAACGCAAATACCTACGATAAATTGAGAAGAAATTACATGTTCATGGCAAGGCAAACAAACACTGCAGTGCGAAACTTGATCAAACAAATTCACGTGCCCTGTAATACCGTTTGGTGCGTACATAACGATGTTTTTGTGCAATATGTTCCGCTAGGCTTTCTACACCGGGAGTGCCGAACGGTTTGCACAGCTTAATCTTTTGTCAGTGTTGTTGTTTTTCCGGATAAACATATTCTTTATTAATAAAATAATATTTTTAAATAATTTCTAAAAAGCTGAATACCCTGGGAAATGTCAAGCCAATGCTGTTTGTATTAGCGATACGAGAACCAGGAGGCATCAGGCCAATAAACATTGGAAAGGCATCTGTGAATTGCAAAAACAAATAATTTTGTTAAACGGCGTAAGACAATTGTTTAACGATACAATTTCGACAAAAAAATTTCTATGGGGCAATAATTTAATACCGCAGCTATCAATGTATAGGTAAACACCGTATTGCTACTGCGGGCGTTTTTCACTCTCGTCTGCCAAAACGACATTACAGGCTACGTACGTGTTTACGGAAAATGGAAACACTAGCACACACACGATTCCTAACACATTTTTTCGCCGCAATATAATTGTAGGTTTACATAACCATCTTTCATCTCTCTTCTTTCTTCTGTCATTTACAAAGAGGTGTGTTGCATCGTCGCTTGAGGTATAATGTGCCTGATTAACTTTGTCTAGCACATATAGGTACAGCCGCTGTAACTATATCCTATGCAGTCATGGACGCATCAGTGCCAGTAATCACTTGCCCGGTGGAGAGACGCGTAATTGCCTAACAAAAGTCGTGTCTCATTTGTCTTTCAGGCGAAGTAGTTCCGATAACACAAACGTTCCCCCAAAACAGCGGCCGTTAGAGTGGCGAGGGAGAGCGCGGCGCGTCCTTTTTGGTTCTAGTTGTTAACTGTTAGTTGGTTCTGTTTGTAACTAACTTCTCGTCCGTATATGTTGAAAGCTTGGTTATATCAAGCAAGCGCTCGTCAAATACGCGCTACATTTTATGTGTTCTACATCTTATGTGGACTTACGCGGATTTCATGGCACCTTCAAGTCGATAATGCTGCTGTTTAGCGCTAAACCCATAATATACCGTGTTACACAACATAATATAATTAACTCAATAGAACGTATTTTGCGCTAGGGATAGCAGAGCTAGACTAAGAATATACTTGTTTATTCTTATAATTAACTTTAGTTACTTCTATAAATAACTTTAGTTATTCTTCTGTCTATTGGGATAGCGTGCTAAAATTTTCGTTTTCTCACAGATGTCGAGGGATGTCGACCAGCGCCCTCTATACTCGCCGACTAGCTGGCGAGATCACGCTGCACGAGAGACTGCTGCGGACGTTCGCAGTCTGGCACCTGCCCGATGTGAAGAGGGCCGGAGCACTGCATTTACTCAGGAAACGCGAGATCGGCGTAAGTCTATAATCAGCATGCTGTCACCGTCTTTGTTAGGCGAGATAAGTATAACATTTAATTTTTATCGGAATATAAATACGTGATTTTTTTAATTAATGAGGAAGGGTGCACGGTTTTCGTCGTGATTATTGTCTATTTAATTCATTTAAATGAAATTTCACAATTGATTTTATGATCGATCTCTTATTCAGCGTATCTAAGTACAGTAATCATGTATAGTTCTATTGTGAAATCTATATCTATATATAAAAGAAAATCTAGACGTGTACATCTTGTCAGTCTTATTGAACTAGGTTGGCTGAGCTGTCAATCGAGATCAAGTAGTTTTGTATCTGGGTTTTATACATGTGCGCAGCGAAAATATCGGATTTGCCGAACTTCGTTCCACAACATTGCACTTAGAATGTCTTGCTACAGCTCCGAATAGGCCAGAACGCTGTCAATCACGCTGATAGGCTAATCAGGAACTGATTTCATATTTAATCCATGTTCGAATCTGACGTGCGAGATCGATAGGTTTTTTCCTGAAGAATCTCTTCCGATTCGAACACACGCATCTCTACCTGATCGTATCTCCCGACACCTCTGATCCTCGACTTCTCCTTCTTCCTGCAGCAGACGTTCGTCGTGAGGCAGTCGAGCAAGCCGTCGACGATGGCGCTGTCGCTCAGGGTACTCTCTGTCGTGGCGTCGACGTGGAGCACTATCTGATCGTGTGCACGGAGGCGAGGCCTGAAGCTGGGCGGATCGACGCGGATTTCCCCGCCATGCACTCACTTGTTGCCTTCTACTGTGAAAAGAGGTGAACGCGCGCGAGAGTGTGTTTAAGGGAGAGAGAGAGAGAGAGACAGAGAGGGAGAGGAGAGCGAGAGAGAGAGACAGAGAGAGAGAGAGAGAGAGAGGAGTGAGAGAGAGAGAGAAAGAGAGAGAGAGAGAGACAGAGAGTGTGAGAGAGAGAGAGACAGAGAGAGAGAAGAGAGAGAGAGAGAGAGAGAACAAGAGATAGAAAGAGCGAGAGATACATGAGGATGCAGCGTGGGCAACAGCCACTCTGTTGGCAAGCAATCTGCACGACTTGTGAGGTCGTCTGTCAGTACAGCAGATGCGTGATGATTAAATGTTCTTTTGTTTGCAAGTGCGCGATGAGCTGAAATGATTAACTGACGTTCAACTGTTGCCATGAATGTATCATGGCCAATAATTAATCTATGCGCTCTATTGTTGGCGCGCGTGTAACATGGTCAGTAATTAACTGACGTTCTATTGTTGGCGCGCGTGTAACATGGTCAGTAATCAACTTACGTTCTATTGTGGCGCGCGTGTAAAGGTCAGTAATTAACTGACGTTCTATTGTTAGCGCGCGTTTAACATGGTCAGTAATTAACCCGATGTTCTATTGTTGGCGCGTGTGTAACATGGTCAGTAATTAACCCGATGTTCTATTGTTGGCGCGTGTGTAACATGGTCAGTAATCAACTGACGTTCTATTGTTGGCGCGCGTGTAACATGGTCAGTATAATTAACTGACGTTCTATTGTTGGCGCGCGTGTAACATGGTCAGTAATTAGCCCAATGTTCTATTGTTGTCATGAGCGTCACGCAGCCGATAATTAACTAACGTCACCTGACGTACGTGTGTTTTTGCCGCGTGTGCTTGCAGTGATGAGCTTCCGTGCAGGCTGGCCCTGCCCAGTGTCATCATGAAGATCACGAACAGACAAGAGCTGTCATCGCTTGCCATGCTAGGACAAGGTACACTGTTCGCTCATACCCTATCATATTACTGTTCGTTCGTGCGTGCGTGCGTGCGTGCGTGCGTGCGTGCGTGAGCGTGTGAGTGCATTCGTTCGTGCGTGCGCGAGTGTGTGTGTGTGGCGTGCGCAGCGGCGCGTGCCTTGGGTGCGTGCGCGCGCGCGTGCCTGGGTGTGAGAGCCTTCGTGTGAATGGTTGGCCATTGCATGAACGCGATTGAAAAGTAGGCCAATCCCTATATCAACACATCCTAAGAATTCATGTTGGGCACTCGTTGTGGGTAGCAACTGCTAACAAGAGCTATGATGCTCCATTGTTTGAATTAGTAAAGACTTCATCACAGCAAAAGTTGCACTGCATCCACATGTCACTTGCACTGCAAAAGTTCACCGAGAAATCCAATATCCACACTTACTTAAGTATAAGTTACATCAACTTGGTATAAGTATCCACACGCCAGCCAAACGCTGCAGCTGTAAAGATCTCTGTAAACGTAAAATCTGCAGGGAATTTTCCTGTAATTCTATAAATGTTAAATCTGCAGGGAATTTTTCTGTAACTCTGTAAACGTAAAATTTGCAGGGAATTTTTCCTGTAACTCTGTAAACGTAAAATTTGCAGGGAATTTTCCTGTAACTCTGTAAACGTAAAATCTGCTGGGAATTTTCCTGTAACTCTGTAAACGTAAAATCTGCTGGGAATTTTCCTGTAACTCTGTAAACGTTAAATCTGCTGGGAATTTTTCCGAACGAGTGGCATCTCCACTACAGTGTACTGCAGTGGTGACTAACGCGATATTCCCGCTGCGTTGTTGCAGAGTTCTGGCAGCAGGCGGATTTCCGCCGCTGTAGCCAGACGAGCGAGTCACCGCCCCGTCTCCCCCGCGAAGCTCTACCCTGAGGAGGAACTGCTCAAATCTCCCAGGCCATGCTGCGACCTCGCCAGCTCGCCCACAAGGCACTGCACATCGTCGACAGCCGCCGCGGCCGCGCGACGGCGTGCCCGCCGCCCGCTCTCCCCGGCGTTGTCGCGACGACGTCGTCGTCCGCTGGTCCGTGGTCGTGTGCAGCAACGGCACCCGCCCGCGCAGCAAGCCTCCGGCGGCGCACACTCGAGCGCACTCGATGAAGGACGACCCACTCATCGAGGCTGTGATCACTTCTCGAGACGGTCGAGACGCTCAGGCG